TCCCTCCTCAGAGCAGCTGCTCTGAGAGCTCTGCAAAGCCAATGCTGAGGAGCATCGGGTCCCCCACCATGCCTTCTCCAGGCCCCTAGCCCTTCTAATGTGTCTTTTCCCAGCTGTTCTTGGAGACTTTGTGTTTCTTGAGCTTTAGAATTGGTTTGTCTCTACAAAACAGCTCACTGAGGCATTGCCTGGGGTGGGGTGAACCTGCAGCGTTCAGTCAGGTGTGCCTCTCCACAGTCTGTAACAACTTCTCACCTGTTCTCAGATTCTCGGGCCCCAGTCTCTGGGCCTGGGTGGGGTTTATTTCCAGCACTGCAGTTTCAACGTTACTCTATTTGAAACCTCATCCTGCAGTTGTTCATTACTAGTCTATCAGGGGTTTTTTTGTTTGTTTGGGGGTTTTTTGGTCTTTTTGAGACAGGGTCTCCCTGTAGCTCCAGCTGCCTGGAACTCACTCTGTAGACCAGGCTGGCCTTGAACTAACAGAGGATCCGCCTGCCTCTGCCTTCCAAGTGCTGGGATTAAAGGCGTGCGCCACCACGCCCGGCCACATTGATTCTTTAATATTAAAATTTATCTATCACTGTCTGTGTTGGACTTCGTCAAAGCTTTTCTCATTCTTATTAAGATGATTTTGTGGTTTGTCATTTTTGTGTATTAATGTGATAAGTTACACTAACTGATTTTTTATTTAAAAAAATTTATTGCCAAGTGTAGTGGTGCATGCCTTTAATCCCAGCACTCGGCAGGCAGAGGCAGGTGGATCTGTGAGGTCAAGGCCAACAAGGTATATGCAGTGAGTTCCAGGCCAGAGAGGAATACATAGTGAGACCCTATATCCCCCACACCCGAGTAATTACAGATGTATGCCATGGTGCATGTGCGAAGTCTGAGGACCTCAGACTCTCCTTCTTTCCTGTTCCCTACAACCTCCCCAGACCTAGCACCAGATCCACAGGCCTCAGGTGCTGCTGGGAACCAGGCTCTAGGCTTGGTCTGTGCAAGTCCACCTTGGCCTGCCCCGTCTTCCTTGGGTTGGGTTCCTTCATCTGTGAAATGGGGACAACAGTGCCTCTGGCAGATGGCTGCCTCGACAACCAAATGAGCAGTAACACTGAGACCTCACAGGAGGCAGTTAACTGAACATTCTAGCAATCACATTCCCTTCCAACATCCAGAGCATTATCCAGCCCATCTCCTTTCCTTCAGCTTGAAGACTGGCTTCAGTGTGGGGCAAACTGTCAACCTCACCCCTGGTCAGTGAGAGAACTAGGCTAGCAGCCTAGCCCAGGTTCTAGAGGTGCCCTGATGGCCAGGCCTGCCCCATATCCTCCCTGGAACTGGCTCAAGTACACTCAGAGGACAGTCATTACTGAGGCCAGCTGTCCTGAGGGCAGTCCCGAATCCAGTCCTGTTCCCAGGGGGTGGCCCAGCCTCTAGGATCTAGGTGAGTGGACCCCAACACTCTTTTAGGTCTGCATGCAAGTAAAAGAGGAGAGGAGAAGAGAAGGGGGAGGAGGAGAAAGTGGGGAGGGAGAACAGTGGCTTCAGGACACCCCCCCCCGCCACCCCTCTGCTCCTCAGTGGAACCCTCCAAGCCACACTTTAGCCTCTGGGGCTGTTTCTCGAACCCTCCTTAGGCCTTGCTCTGCCTGCTCTGGAGTGGTCCACAGTAGAACAAACCAAGGCCACATGACTTTGGGTTTCTGAACAGTCAAGCTATAAGACATTGTCTGTTCCTCATTCATTTCCCAGTGGAGACATTGCCTGGCCTGTGACCAGGGGCATCCACAGGCTCAGGTAGTGGCTCCCCATGGGCTCAGTGCTGGAGGCACCACGTGGTTGCTGGCCCTGCAGACCAGGCCAGACTGATGTGTCACAGGCCTATGGTCCTGGCAGACCAACTCCCTGCCAGCTGGAACCCATTGCCAGATGGGACACAATATGGATGCTCCATGCCAGGCCAGTCTGGTGAGCATTCCACCCGGCTGCCTGGAAGACCTGTGTCCCTCAGCTGCAGCAGGAGCCTCAGTGGGCTGTATGGAGTGTGGGCTGGTCTTACCCAGGCAAGCCAGCAGCCTTTCCCATTCAGAACCTGTTCCAACTGCTTTGCTTGTGCCAAAAAAATGGCTGGAGCCCTGCAGACGTGGGCTCACTGAGGCCTCCCTGTTGGGGAGGCTGGGAGCCAGGCTTGCCGCCCCCTGCTCCTCAGTGTGGAAGCACACACTCAGCAGTTGGCTGGCCGCCCTTGGGCAGAGCTGCTGCTTCCTTAGCCCTACCCAAGGGAGGAGAAGGGATGGGTCAGGTCACACGAGGTCCTCAGGACCCAGCAGAGCCCAGAACCAACGGCAAATCAGGTCAAGTGGGCTCTGAGTGGTGCAGGGCCCTGGCTACAGCAAGGCTGGCTCTGAGCAGCCTCTGCTCAGGTGTGGGCAGTGGCCCTGGCTCACACTTTGCCTTCAGCTGACCCACAGCCTGGCCAGGCTGCTAACAAGTGGGAGGAGCAGCCAGCGTGGAGTTGTGGGGAAGAGAAGTTTAAGGGAAATCTCTGCTTCAACCCTGCTGCTGAAGCCATGTCTATACTGTGTGCGCCATAACTCCAGCTCTGGTGCCATAGGCTACTGTGTGGCCTTAAGCAAACAGATCTGTGACTCCAACTTCTCATTGGGTAGAAGGGGGACAGTGAGGACACCATCTCCTATGCTTGGCCAGGGTGAAATCTGGAATAGAAAGGGCAGGCTTCCCACCTTCCTCTTGGGACAAGGAATAAGCTAGGTTCTGTCTGAGCCCAAGACCTGGGTCCACCTACACTCAGTCCTCTGTCCAGGTCCTTTACAAATAAGGTTGTTCATGCTGGGAGGAGCAGACACCCAGGCCACATTCCTTGGTGCTGGAATGACCTCTGACCTCCCTGTCTTTGCAGATGGTGTCATGCCCTGTGTGACCTCCCCACCAACTTGGCCCCAGTGCCTGATCCCATGTAAGGAAGCAATCTCTGGGGCTTGTTCTGGAGTCCTAGGGATCCTCCCCCCTCTTCTGGCTCTTAGAGGATCCCAGGATCCCTGGCTTGTGGCTGTATCACTCTAGGAACTGCCCATCTCCACAGCCTCTCCTGTGTCAATGTCTGTCCTAGGGACAGTCACTTGGTTAGAACCCATCCTAACTCCACAAACCTCATCGTATTATTCCAAACCAGACTGCAGCTGAAGTTCTGGGTGAACATGGGTTTGGAAGGACAACTCAACCTCTTATGGAAAAAGGCAGTCAAAGAAGGTGGGCTGTTGTGTGGATGGGCAATGTCCCCTCGCCCCAAAGGGTCACTTGGTCCCCAGCTGGCGACCCTGTTTGAGGGGCTGTGGAACCTAAAGGACATGGGGTTAGGCTGGCAGACAGGCTGTGATCCTTACCCACTGCTGTTCACTTTGGACTAACCTGTCCTGAGTGTGGGCAGAGCCCATAGCTTGCTTCCCACCAGTAGAAACCAGAAAGGTAACACAGGTGGGAACTGGCTCCTGTAGCTGTCAGCTGGCCTGTGAGGAGGGGCACATGGCTGGCAGTGAAGTGTGGCCTTTGATGCTGTCCACAGCCACGAGAACATGGACACAGATCTCTCCCAGCCAAGTCTCTGCCGAGATCTCAGCCTTGGCTGTACCTTGACCGCAGTCAGGAGGAAGATGAGTAGAGGACGCTGGGAGGCTGTGCGAGCCCCTGCGGCAGAGCTCCAGGCCTCCAGGTTCACAGCCATTTGCTGCACAGCCAAAGCAAACAAGTATCAGAGGACCCCTCACCATCAGCTGAGGTCTACTCCCAGAAGCTGGTAGATGTGGTCAGCAGACAGGAAAGCAGGAGGCTCCAGCACAGAGCACTGTCCCCACAGATGAGCATGGACAGCGCCTGGGGTCCCCATCCTAAGTGCTCTGGAACCTCAGCAGCCCTTACAGCCTGTTTCGCCACTTTTCACTTCACGTCAGAACCATTTTGAAGAGTGCCACATTGGCAACTGAGCCAAATTTCTTTGATGAAAATAATCCATAGCCCTTTGGTTGCAATAGTCAGCCATGCTCACTGGCAGCCCCGTGTCACTCACTGTGGGACGTGAGGTTTAAGTGTCCAATGCAGCAGGACTATGAAGGGTGCTCCACCTCCTCTGTGACCATCTCCCTAACTCCACTCTGTTCTAAGGGCTTCCGGAAGTTCTGTGCCCACTGACTGCAGGCTCTGGGGAGGGGGAAAGCCCATGTGGAAGGTAACCAGGACCTGGAGCAGACCTATAGCTCATTCTGAATGAGCTCTGGGCCATCATCTTCCAGAACAATCCAGGCCTCAGCATGGGGCTTTGTGAGCTAGAAACAAGGTGAACTCTAAGACTTGTGGCCCCGACTCCTCAGTCTGGCTTTTCAACATGGCTCCAGTGGAGTCCAGGGGAGGAACCTACTGTCTCTGGGGGCTTTGCCTGCTGACTACACAGGGCCCCATGACACCTTTAGCTCCAGTCCTAGAAGGGTCATGGGAAGATTTCCAGGGACCTGCAGGGTTGGAGATCAAATACTGTTCCATGTGCTGCTGCCTCCTCAGACAGGAAGCCAGGCTGAGAATGGGCCCTAGGTGAAGAGGCAAGGGCCACTGAGGCCAGTGGTGGCTCTTTGAGTGAGCCCTAGTGCCTGGGTTCCCAAGGACATACAGCTGCCTCATTAGCAAAGGCCTGGGTCACCCCTAGCAGGGGCCAGCAATGACTACCTGAGTGCAGACCACCATCACTGCTCTGGGAGTTGTGGCTGCCAACCTGGTTAAGGGAGGAACTAGGAACAGGCTCTGTGGGTCCTCACCCAGGCTGGCCTGAGACCCCATATGGCTGCTTCCCCTAGTTGCTGCAGAGCCCTTAGAGTTTCAAAGACTGACTTAATTCTCATCACTCAGGTGATGCTAGCAGATTATTGTTTCAGAGCTGGCCCAAGGGAACAATCCCCAGGACACTCAGTCTAGATGGCACGTACAACTGCTCGTGTAAAATCAGAAATAACTTTATATGGAAATAATTTTTTCCAGGAAGGAATCAAAACTAACATGTCTGGGGAAAAGGTCCCAGAAGGGACCCAGAGGGTGGAACAGGAAGCAGGGCTCACCCCGAGTCCTACTCTGGAACCCGTGTGGCCCAGGTGAGGCTCTGATGATGATCTCCACAAAAAGCCTGGTGCTCTTGCAGAACAGAAGCTTGGCACAACGCTGAGTTTCCAGGAAGAGGGAAGCTGGGACGCACACCTCTGGGGAGGCCACATCTGTAGAGGCCGATGGTTCTGTATCAGGGCAGCCAGAGACGGACCCAGCAGACTGCGAGTGTGGGGATGTCCACCATCCGACAGAAAGCAGGTCACCAGCATGGGAGGCAAGCAGGGGGAACTACAGAGCCACCACAGAGAGATCACTTCCCCTTTGGCCATGTGGCTCATCAAGGAAGTGGTTCACGGGGCCTGCCTCTGCTTCTTGAAGGCCTGGGATGGGCGCAGCTCCCCAGGCCCATGGGCAAATGGACAGAGGGTAGCAGGCAGCACACAGCCGTCAGGATGGTGGATGAAGAACCAGCAGGTGCGTGTCTTGAACGCCTCTGCAGACACACTCCGCCTGGCTTCAGACTTCTCCTTCTGTAGCTCTTGCCTCCAGTCACGAATATGAACTCGCCCGTTCAGAACTGAGGTTTACAACAAAAAGACAAAACCCAAGATATTCGCCTGAGTGTTCATTACAGCACTGGGATTGAGAATCACCACCTTGTGGTGCAGGGCCAGGGCTGAGGTGGGGACGCTGGTCACAAATCCTTGTTGGAGGGGATGTGGGGACATGGTGTGTATTAATCAGGAGACGGCCAGGGTGGCCTGCTGGTGGCATAACCTTGTATACCCACATGAGCACTTCAGAGACAGGAGGAAGGCCAAGGGATCAATGCTAGAGCAGACAGGGCAAGACAGACAGACAGGGCAGGTCACACATGATCTTCAGGGCATCAAAAGGACCATGACTCACTTTGGATGTACAGGCAGACCTGGGACTTCTACACTAGGAAGGCTCATGCCAGTGGTCCAGGGTGTGAGGCTCACATAGACCCTGGCGTGGGCCAAGTGTGGGAACACATTGACACTGGGCATTGGGTCTTTGAGGATGCTTCCCCATAAAAGAACAGGCAAGTCAAGAGGTGAGATTCCTCCACTTCCCAGTGCTTGCTGGGTTCAAATGCATACCCACAGCTAGAGCTCCCCCCCCCAGGGGTCCATGGGCAGTGTGTGTGGGGGGATAAAAGCCCTGGAAACAAGGACAGTAAACAACACATGCAGCGACCCCAGACACAAAATAAGAAGTGCCATGGCTGATAGGGCCAGGGGTGGCAGAGGAACTGTAACAGGCAGGGCTGACCTCAAAGCTGGGCAGCAGGAGGGATCCAGGGGCACAGTTGTGGGCTACCTGGGTCCCCTGGTAAGGTAACAGGGACAGAGCGCCTGATGGTCCAGTCACCAGGCTGAGTCAGGGCTCCCCTTGGCCACTTCATTTTGAGAAGCCAACAGCTCTGTGTGAAACTCAGCCAAAGCAACCAGCCCTTCCTGGTTTTCCCCCAGAGCTGTAAACCACCGTGGCCATGTGGCAGGGGAGGACTGAAGGCGTCTCATTGAGGGAGTTTGGCTCACTGGCTTCTGGAACTGAACTGAGCATGTGTGATGAGTGCAGCTTCCTGTCTGTGCTGGGATCCCTTGTGGAGTATCCCCATTGGGCCTGGCAGCTGCCCCAGTGGCCAGGAAACCTGAGCAATGAGCCTGGGGAGAACCCCACAGCACCTAGGACACAGGGCGAGCTTCCTCTTCAGGGATGTCTCCATGCCCCAGGGTCACACGACCCTGTGTGCAGCCATCTCCCCCAGGCTGAGGCTTGTTTTCCCTGACCCAAAGCCCAGGTTACGGCAACTTCAGGGAACTCTAAGACATTTCCCAGAGAAGCGCCTTCCACTGCAGCTCAAAGCCCAGGTTACGGCAACTTCAGGGAACTCTAAGACATTTCCCAGAGAAGCGCCTTCCACTGCAGCTCAAGACGTGACTCAGCCTCTAAGGGCCCAGAGCCCTCTGAACTGTGCTCAGAAGAGCCTTGGGGCACCCACCAGACCCAGCAGGGCAGGAACATGAAGTCCGTCCTGGATGACTATGAACTACGGGAGTGCCTGGCCAGTTCTGGGGTGGTACTTCCAAGATCAGGGGATCAGGCCTACCCAGGAAACATAAGGACTAAAGAGGCATTAATAACAGAGGTGATGGCCAGGTGCTTAGGCTGCCCAATGTTCCCCGTCTATACCCCAGGATGCCAGGCAGCTCCCTGTGGCCCCACAGCCGTCATCCTGGACAGGCTAGTGCCAGGCGCCAGAGAGGCGGCCCTCCAAGGCACATGCCAGCCAGTCCCAAGCTAGACCACCAACAGCTCTCCTCTCGGAAATGTGCTACTAATTTGAAATGGAATCACAGAACAAATCTGCCCGGCTCACTTCTCTTTCTGAACTCATGTCTCCCTGCTGGGGGCTGTGGGATTGCAGAATTCCACTATCCCTCTGCCTGACAAGAACAGACCCTTTGACTAGCACTTGCTGAGAACCAGGGAAAAGAGAGTGCCCAGGGTCTGCTAGGTCTTTGGGGCACCATTATTGGGAGTCTCACACGCCTGGATTGTGACACTTACAGGGAGACCTTTGGAAAGTCAGCCTCTCTGAGCCACATTGGGGGGGGGCAGCGGGGAGTTGCTTCACCTGGGGACGAGTGGTGGAGGCCACTTCACCCTGGGGTGTAAGAAAAAAACACACAGCCCTACCACCCAGCCACTGTGCACTGAGCACAGGCTCCAAGCAGGTCCTGGAAAGGGGCAGGGCAGAGGCGGGTCCTCCCCCAAGGCTCCATCAGGTGGTTCCTTAAGGTCAGAGCATTGCAGCCCCTGTCGCGCTGGGCAGAGGTGCTCACACGAGCAGACCTAAAGCCATCAGAAAGCTCCACCTCCTCAGGCTCACACACTCCAGACCAGCCAGCGCCACGTTAGCTTAAACAACAAAACGAAACCAGACCAAACCCCATCCAGAGATAAGTCCAGCTTCAGCACATAGTTTCTGCATGACTGGAAGAAACATTCACGTGCACTGGGTCCCCAAGCTGCCTATTCAGAAGTGATTCCAAAAACAATCCTGCCCCTCAAGTGAACTGCACAGAAAGCAACTATAAGCTAGCTATTTATACTTGGGAGGAAAGACAGTCCTTCACGAAATCAAAGAAAATATGCCGGGAACCAGAAGAGCAGTCCCCAGTGCTCTGGCACTGAACTGTTTGAAGCTTTGTAGGAGCAGACTCCAGGAACTGCATGGCTCATCTGGCCGTGTGGGTGTGGGAATCCCAGTTCCAATAACCTCTCCCTGGGGGCTGTGCCAGGCCATTCTCTGCACCCACTCCTACAAACCAGAGTCTAGCCCCTTTGACCAGTTAGTTGTCCACCCACAGCAGCACATACTCCAGTGAAGATGAGCTAGCTAGAATGAACCAAGTTCAGCTGCCCCAGGGTGACCCCGGGGCAGGTGTGTAAACCTGCACAGCGGTGTTCTCACACAGGAACACATCGGACACCGTGTTCTCATGCACACACACAGGACCATACATACACACCTGCGTTCTCATATTTGTGTACACACACCCACACAGGGCAGCAATGTACACCTCCCCTCACCACAGCAGTGAGTACATACTCACTTTCTCATGTACACAGGGCAGCACACATCTGTGGTCACACACATGGGGTAGCACCCACTGTGGTCACACACAAGGGCAGGGAAAATGAACAAGTGACCCTCTTAATCTTGGGGTCTGGGGTCCGTGGACTGAGATGGGGACAGCTGTGTCTCTACCACCTGTGTGTCACCAGCAAACACTGCCTAATGTCTCCCCTTGAACACAGCTAAGATTGCACACATACTCCATGAGGCAAGAGTGGTCCATGGGGGAGCAGCCAGGAGTGGGCTAAGATCCCACTGCTCCCCCGCCTTGTTGCACTCCTACAAACCCATGAACTCATGGCACTGTCTACACCATGGGCTCCTGGGTAGACACTATCACACCACACTCTCCCTCCTTAGACGAACACTTCCAGAGGGCAGGGACTGAGCCGTGATCCATGGAGAATGAGCCTTCCCACCTCCCAGCTTGGGGCAGCCCTGGAGCCACAGGACCCAGCACAGGAACAGATTGGGTCTCGTCCCACCATGAGGGCCACTCAGGAGTCCCTGGCCCAGGCCTGCAGGGTAGGGGTGCTCAGCAGGAATCCAGGCAAGACTAGGGGTAGGTTCATGTCCTGGCTCCCCCTGCTGGGCTCTGTGCTCTAGATGCTTCTTGCTGGAAGTGGCCAAAGGTGAATAAACATTCTTGAGGTGACACAGCTTTGGGATGGGGCACATCCTGCACAGAAGCCAGCTGGGCCAGGGCACAGGGGGTCTGGAGTGAGCCCAGAGGGGTGGGTGGTCATGGCTTCACCCAGAGGTCAAGCCAGTGGTGGCCTGGGAAGGCAGAGAAGCATCACAGGCCCCTCCAGAAATGCAGGAACAGGAAGAAGAGTGCTATGGAATGTGCCAGAAGAGCCTGCATTGGACAGGCAGGACGGGTTGACATGTGGCCACCTCACAGGCCTGCCTTACCTTCAAATACCTGGTGGCAGTTCCTGAGCAGCGTCTGTAGGCCCCCACACTCCCGCTTCAGCCGCCGCAGTGTCTCCGGGTTCAGCTCCCCAGCCACTTCTGCCAGGGAAAGGCTCCCTGTTGGAAGTGGGTTTCCCCAAACAGCAGGGCACATTAGAAGCCTGCCATCAGCAGAGATATCAGGGCCCAAAGCCACTCCAGTCCTGCACATGTATATGTGTATGCTGTGTATGCTTTAGCAGAGGGCCCTCACTCACAGTTTAATAATCCACATCTCCATTACAAAGAGGGAACGCCTGAACCACAGTGACACAGCACGCCAGCATGCAGGCCCACACAGTTCCACTCTGCAGGCTGAGCATCAAGAGACACTATCAGTGCCTGGTGGTGGCCAGGTTCCCCTCCCCAGTACCCCACAAAGGAGACGGGGCCTAGAGCTGAGGAAGCAGGGCCAGCGGCACCTGCTCTAGCTGAGCAGCCCGTCAGTCACACCCTACAGGGCACTGCCTAGGTGGGCCATGCAGCTCAGGTGGGACTGGAGTAGGTGTGACACAGCACCACAGATGTCAGAGTGAGGCCTTAGAACACACAGCACAGCGCTGCTTTAGAATCTGCTCACGCTTTGACTGGACACCCAGTGACAGTGACAACTGTTTAGACGTGATGACAAGGGTCTCCCTGGGTGCATTTGCCACGAACCTCCTCCCTGCCATACTGCACCTCAGAGCTTACCTGTGCCTCCTGCCCAAGCAGGGGGCCAAGGACAGCCCTGCCTCCACAGCTCTCCAGCCAGATAGCATCAGAGCCGCCTGGCCCAGACCCCAGAAGGGCCCTCTTTCCACCATCTAATAAGGGCTTACAGAGGGAGATGCCCCAGACCCATCAAATGGGATAGGAATAGGCCCACACCTGTGCCCTCTGCCTGGGAGACAGGCTACAGGCTGGGCAGGGGTGGGGAGGGTAGGAATCCCAGTGAGCACAGAGCAGAAGGCTGTCTCAAACATGCCCAGGCTGCCAGACAACTATGACAGGTAAGGTATGGTACCCAGGTGCTCCTCCTAGTATCGGGCAGGACGAGACTCCTCAGAGTCATCTTTGGACCCAAGTCTGTGAGAGGCTCCCATTGGGTCGGAGAAGGGCCTTCCATCCCAGGCACAGCCTAGGGGCCCCTACCTTCTACTGCTTACTGGGGTGAACCAGGAATCCTGCTGTGCAACACCCTCAGGAACTTCCAGACCCACCCTGGCATCCCAGCTCCTCCCTGTGCTCTGCCAGCCTGAGGACTCCAGCCTGTCTCCTGCACAAACTCCACAGTCACATCTAGTCAGTAGTACCAGCCCAAAGGCACGTGGTGCTGGGCCTGCAGTTATACAGCCCGTCAGCCACCTGAGCCAGGGCCCTGGAACACGTCTCTGCCTAGATGATCCCGGGAGTGGAGGGGAACATACTCATGAAGGTCCTGCCATGCCGAACATGGGAGACAAGAGGGTGAAGGGAGGAAACCTGGCCCAGTAGTCACAGGTGAGGACATGGCTTGGGGAGGGCCACCCACTGCTGTGCAGGGCCAGGGACGGACTCCTGGCTCTCCAGCAACAGCCCCAACTCCAGGAGCAGTGGTGGCTCTGCCAGTGGATGGCCCCACACTGCCCTCTGCTGGCTGAGAGGAGCATCCAGCTCCATACATGGAAGCTCTTAACAGTATTTTAAGTCCTGGCTGGTTTGCTTGAACCCCACCTCCACACCACTGTCTCCTTCCATGGCAACAGTCTTGTATTTAGGGACTGACAGAATTAAAGTGTCATATTTATATTCAAGAGTGCACTGTGGCGGTGGGGCACTCAGTGACCTACTTTTCCGTTTGTATCATTTCCACCGATGAACCTAAGCAGCCCTGGCTTCTGCACCTGACCTCTGTAAAGTTCACACAACCTGCCTCTGCCTTCCTCCCCTGAAAAGCCCAAGCACTTCTGCTGCCGGAACCGTAAGAGCTGAAGAGTCCGCTGCAGAAGCTGTTCACCCAGCCTTTTCTCTGGGGAGGGTGCCCTACCTCCTCCATTCCAGGCCTTCACACTGGGGTCCAGAGAGCTTCCTGGGTTTAACTTCTTTCCGTCCAACAACAAATTTGCCACCTGCAAAACCACTTGGTCGATGAAGTCTCGAGGGAGGGCAGCACAATTCCTCACGCATTCCACCTTTTCTCTAGGCCGGAACCCAGGCAGCCAGGGCCCACTGGCCAGAGCTCCTCCTCCATGTTCAGCAGCAGGGACCTCGGGCACGTACTCAGCCCCAGCATCCAAAGCCATGTGACTGTCTCGGTGACCAGCATCACAGGCAGTAGCCTGGGGTGTAGGTGGTGTGTGCTCCTCCCCAGGCGGGCTCTGGAGGCCGCCCTGCCTTCTCTGGAGATACTGCATCCTCTGCTGGTCCATCCAGACCTCCGCAGCAGGTGGGTATGTCCTGGATGTCCCAATCAGGCAGACCTGTGTTTGAAGACAGAGTACTTCAGCAGGCTGCTGTCAGCTGTCCCAGCATTCTTCACAGAGCACCCTTGGGCTGAAGCACAGGTTCCATCAGGGTTCTAGACGTCTGTCACACACAAGACCTTGTGCAAGCACCACCCACCGAGTCACATCTCCAGTCCAAAACACCCTTATTTTAAAGACTGGCATCAATATAAACAGTTTAAAATTTTAAGTAGTTGGGGCTGGAGAGATGGCTCAGCAGTTAAGAGCACTGGCTGCTCTTGCAGAGGACTCAGGTTCAGGGGCTCTGATAGCCTCTTCTGGCCTCTGTGGGTATTGCATGGATGGGTGTACTTACATGCATTCAGGCAAAATATACATAAACATAAAAATAAAAACTAGGTGTGGTGTTGCATATGCCTTTAATCCCAGCACTTGGGAGGCAGAGGCAGTAAGATCTCTATGAGATCCATGCTAGTCTGGTCTACACACTGAGTTCTCTAGGCCAGTTGGGCACTATGGGGAGACCCTGTCTCAAAAAAATTAAAAATAAAATAAAAATCAAAAAATTTGTTTAGCTAGATAAAAAAATAAAAGAGCTAGCCAGGCTTGGTGGCGCACGCCTTTAATCCCAGCACTTAGGAGGCAGAGGCAGGCGGATCTCTGTGAGCTCGAGGCCAGCCTGGTCTACATAGCGAGTTCTAGGTCAGCTGGGGCTACAGGGAGACCCTGTCTCAAAAAGACCAAAAAAAAAAAAAAAAAAAAAACCAAATGAATTTTAAAAAAATCAAATAAAAGAGCTAACAGTAAAAGTCCACGAGGACTCTACTTTGGATGGTCCTGACTGGACTTGCCTCTGCCACAGGGTCATCTCTGAAGGTCTCCAGGGGCCATGAGAGGCTAGGGCTTTATTGATGTCACCCTGCCAGCCTAAGGCCTGAGATGCTTGGTGCACGGGGGCCACCCAATGCATCTAAGGAATTTCCTTCTTCTACACTTAACCTCTGGTACTTAGTCCAAAACGAGGGCACAGGACAACCAGGCAAGGGGATCATCATCCTGTTAAGAGATACCCAGGCCCTGCCACATGCTCTGTGTTTGGAGCAGAGCCGCACAGGGCAAGTGTTTGGTCTTCAGCAGTCACCTGGTATACCTACTAAGTACCTACTAAGCAAGTCCCACGTTACCCCACTGCAACACTCAGAAGACTACACGAGAGTCCTTGGTTAAACGGGGAGTAGACGAGTAGAATGGCAGGTGAAAGGCTGCCACCTGAGGGTGCCTCTGCCAACCCCCGGACCAACCCAGCAACTTCCCAAACCTACGAGCTCAGAGGAGCAAGAGCTGCCAAGTTAGAGGAATAGCACACGGGGGCCGAGGGTGAACACGAAGGGAACATCCAAAGGAACCCGGGCGAAGTAGGAGCATGGCTTCCTGGTGCGGCCCCAGCTCCGCACCCACCTCTGCATGGCCAGGTCACACATACCCGCTTGGTAGAAGGGATCCTGAGGCAGTCCTCCTGCACGTGGAAGCCGCAGGAGAGCCCCACCTCCAGGACGAAGTCCAGATACTCTCGGTACTGCGTCTTCCGGCTCTGCCGCCGGCGGTATCGCCCTGCGAAGTCAAAGAAGCAGCAGGGCAAGACGAAGAACCGGCAGTCATAGGAAGACCTGGGAGAGCCACAGAAACCATCTATGTGCAGTACATCTATGTAGGTGGTTGTGAAACACTGTGTGGTGCTGGAACCTCTGGAAGACAGCGGGTGCTCTTAACCCGAGTCATCTCTCCAGTGCCTGGCTGCTCCTGTATTTATTATCTTTTTAATTTATTTTTATATGAGTGTTTCGTCTGCACATAAGTAAGTGCATCCATGCATGCAGTGCCCACAGAGGCCAGAAGAGGACATCGGATCCCAGGGAACTGAAGTTATGGACAGTTGTTAGCGGCCATGTAGGTTCTGGGAAACATGAATTTCCCCTGTAAATCTCTAAAAACCACACAGCAGAGTGTGTCTTTTCAATAAAATATAAATCTAATTAACATAACTTCCCACGTGGTTAGTCTGACCCACTGCAACCCCAGTTCTCTGAAGCACACTGAACTTCACCGAGGCAGGCACAGCAAAGGTAAGTTCAGACTCAACCTGCAGCAGTTCTGTGGGAGCAGAAACAGCTCAGAGTCCAGGCAGGATAAGGAGCCCCATTGTTCCAAGGTCCCTGAAGGCATAGGCGTTCTCTGATGGCCCCGGAGCTCCCATTTGTGAAGGGCAGATAGATTTTTTTTTCCCCTGAAGCCAAACCCTCCCAGAATCAGAAGACTTTCAAAGGAGAATGTATCTTTCAACACTGGGTAGAGTCTGCTGACCAGTATGATCAACAGAAGTGTTCGGGGAGCCCAGTATGTGGCTTGTGTTTTCCAGTGGTCACCATTTTAGAAGTAAAGCAGGTAGATTCCAATTTACTCAGTGTATCCATCACACGATCATTTCAATGACCTCAGCTACCACATCAAGAGCCACACAGCCACACATCGCCAGGAGCCATCATCTTGGACAGTGTGTCCAGGAGGGAACACAGTCACCTGCCTCCTCTTCCGCTCACCTGGCTGCAATGACAGGAATCCAAGGAGTGAGCTCATCAGAATGGTTACCAATCAGCCAGTCCACACCAGGGAACAGGGTCTTGTCACTCGGGGTAATGGAACCTTCCTTAAGGATGGCACACAATAAGAAATCATCAATATACCTCCAAAACCTGCCGAGACAGCAGGACACATGCTCTGAACCACAACCCACAGCCACATGATCCTATGGGATCCCTCTGCACCTGAGTCACCCAGAGCAACGAAGTGACTGTCCCTGCCCCTGGTTCACCCCTCAAGGACACAAACCACTGACAACTTTGAAGGTCACCCCTAAAAGGGCACCTTTCTGGGTACTAATCTCCTTTTTTAAAACTTTTTTTATGCCAGATGTGGTAGCGCACGCCTTTAATCCCAGCACTTGGGAGGCAGAGGCTGGTGGATCTCTGTAAGTTCAAGGCCAGCCTGGTCTACACAGTGAGTTCCAGGACAGCTGGGGCTATAGGGAGACCCTGTCTCAAAAAGATAAAAAAAAAACAAAACCTTTTTTTTATTTGTTATTCTTATTTTATGTGTATGAGTGTTTTGCCTGCATGTGTGTAAGAGCACTTGTGTCACCCAGTGCCCAAGGAGGTCAGAAAAGAGCATCGGATCCGCTGGAACTGGAGTTAGGGACGGTTCATAGCTGCCATGTGGATGCTGGGACCCAAACCCAGGTCCTCTGCAAGAACAGTCAGTGCTCCCAACCACTGGGCCATCTCTCTAGCCCCCTAATCGCCCTTTGATGACTGAAACCTTAAATTTTGCATGAACCTAGAGGAACTGACAGAGAAGTGAGGTGGTAAACTGGTAAGCTGCTGTGGCCTTCCATTCTGCACACCCCTCTTCCTGATGGTCAGCAGCCCAGCCTGAATCACCAAGAGTGACATCTCCATGAACTACCAATAGAAACAGAGCAAAGAGGCACACCACCAACCAGAGCCTCCTTCCTCACCTGTGAAGGTGCGGGACTGAGCAGGCGGATGGAGCACTGCTGGACATAAGGGCCTCTCCAGCTGTCCCTACACCAAACCTTACTGTCAGAGCTCTGCTGCCACAGCTGTTCACACAGGAACTGAAACACTGACCCTTCCGTTGTCCAGCTGGTAAGTGCACAGCCCACACAGGAAGCAGTCAGCAGCACGTAGTCATCATTTCACTGTTCTACCCTTAAATTTGCCCTTCGTCTCTTCACTAATCAAGTCTTTATTTGAGTCCTGTAATTGCTATAATCCTGCCATGGAGCGCTGGAAACAGTCCCACCTGCTTCATAAAAAGCCTCAACTGGCCTTAACACAGCAAACTGCACCCTTCCTATCTGACACACAGCTCCACGAAGCAAAGGTAATTTACCTGGGATCCTCGCAACTCAGTCACAAACAAGTTTTAAATGCTCTCCTGTTGAACTGGTGGGCTGAAAGAAGCTGTATGCCAGACTGGATGAAATTTCTAGACGGAACTACCACAGAATTCACTCAACAGCAGCTAGAAGGAAATCACTCCAACAGCACACAGCTGCCAGTGAAACCTCACAGCCAGAGGCGACGCAAAGGCTCTGCTGAAGCGCAATCAACTTCCACCTCACCCCACATGGGACACGAGAGACTGGCATGAGACTGGAGCTTTGGCGCAGCAAGGAGGCAGGGTTCTTGTGGGCATGCTGCCCTGACTGAAGCTTGAAGGGGTTCTCAGGTCAAGTGGCCATGGATGGGCCCAAGGCAGGCCCTGAACTTTCTACAGATTTCCTGAGGCCACCTCACAATGGCTAGCCCTTCCCTTGGTCAGGACTTACTGCTGGGTCACTGTTTGGATTTTGTACCTATGGAGACGGGAAGGCAGGTTCTGGGGAACCTCTAATAAACACCTCAAACCAGCTACATGGTTCCTGAGAGCACCTCAAAATGGCCAGCGCTTCCTGAAGTAAGTCAGGACTTAATGCCAAGTCATTGTTGGACTTTGTGCCTATGGAGGGGGTAAGAGCTAGGAACATAGTGACACAGGCACCTACCTTGTTACTACTGAGCATCAGCCTCATGTGCAGTTCAGAGTCTGAGGATCTGTGGACTTGACACCTGTCTCCACACATCTAGCTTACTAACAGTCCTCAAACCTAAGATTCTTTTTTAAAAAATTTTATTGAATTTTTGTGTATTCTATACACAAAATCATCTTTATAACCCCCCTTCCCCCTTGCCCTACCCATAGGCCCCCCCATTGGAGTTCATACATTCTGTCATTTGTATTAAGGCCTATTATGTAAAGTTAGTGTCCTGACATGTCCCTCCAGGCAAGTTCATCCACCAGGGTTTAGTCAGCTTGTCTAGACTGTCTCTCTTCAAGATCAGCTCTTCCTCACCCAGCAGTAATCAGCTGACAAAAATTCTTCGACTATGGTTGGGGCCTGCTGTTCATTTCCTCAGTTCTGTGCTGGGTTTTCGTCTGCCTGTTTGCAAGGGTCTTGTGCATGCTGACAGCACTGCTGTACGTCTGTATGAGAAGGGTCCCAGGTGCCTGTAAGACTATTTCCACATGGTCATGCACCTCCTCCCTGGCTCTTACAATCTTTTCACCCCCTCTTCTGCAATGGTCCCTGAGCCCTGGGTGGGTGGGGTTTAATACAGAAGTTCTTTCCAAGGACCCATAGTCTGCAGACTCTTAGTCTCTGTGTTTTGGCCATTTGTGGCCTTTTGCTTTCCTGGCCCACTATTGCATGAGGGAGCTTCATTGACAAGAACTGAAAGATGCATTAGTGTTCTCTCCATCCCTTGTTCTACGTTCTGTGAGTCTTAGGTGTAGAGGCTGCATCCTATATGTGCCACGTAGGCTTGGGCAGTTCACAATCTCTGCGTATGACCAGTTGTGGAAGTCTGTAATTATCTCTCTGTTGAAAAAGAAGCTACTTTGATGGGTGGTGGCTGGGATACTTGTCTGTAAATTTAAGGATCCACACTTTGCACATTGTAAGAAATTACATTTGTCTAGGGATGTGACAGCCTAAGGGTTTTCTATAAGATCTATGACCTCTCCAGCGATGTGTACTTGGCTAGGTTTACAGTACCAGACATAAGTTTCCTCTCACTGAGTAGGCTTTAAGTCTAATTAGGCAGCTGATTACCCCCAAGATAAAAGTGCCACTACTGTACCACTGGTCATTGATGTGGTTCTCACGCCTTCAAGGTAGGATTGGACCATAGATTGATGTTCTCCCATAGCAGCTTGCATAGTGCTCTCCAAAGCTATGAGAGCTAGCCTTCAGGGGAGGTGGCTTCCAGGTCAGTACCAGCTCCATTGCTCCAGATCGTGTGTCTAAAATATATTCCGTCTCAGTCTTCAGGAATAGGGTCTTACCATCAAGTTCTGGGAGGCCATCAAGGACTGTGGCAATAGCCTGCTCAATTTGTGAAGTCTCTTGGACCACCCTGGCCTACAACTCAAAGGAAGGTTTCTCCTGTCTGGCCCTGTTTCTAGTTATGTGGTCTTCAGCTATACACACGGACTCATGTAGAGATAATGTATGTATAATTTTGCAGTAGATTTTTGGACTAATACAATTGTTTTTTTAATACTAGCTAGGCATTATTTATCTCTCGTCTTTCTCTCCCTGTCTTGTCCTCCCTCCCCGCCCTCCCCATTTAAAGTGTCCTCATTTTCCCCATTCTCCTTTGATAGTTTGTCTGCTATGGTCCCATTCCTACTGAGCTCCTTCTTTCCCTCTATTCCCATAGTTCTTTGTACAGCCCTCCTTCCCCATCTCCCTGTAACTACCCCTTTTTACACGTTTCTTCCCTAGAACACCTGTCTCCTACTATTCTTCTCCTACTATTCTTCCCTGGTTTCCTTCCATTTTCCTGGTTCCTGCAGTGACATCAAGATATGCACTTACTTACAAGGTTCGGTGCTAGGCTCCACAAACAAAGGTGAACATATGTCTTTTGTTTTTCTGAGTCTGTTACTTTACTTAATATAACAGTTTCTAGAGCCATCCATTTACCTGCAAACTTCATGATTTCCTCTTTCTTCACTGCTGAGTAGAACTCCGTTGTGAAAATATACCACATTTTCATTATCCACGACACTTAGGTTGCTTCCATCTCTTAGCTATTGTGAAAAGAGCAGCAACAAACATGGTTGTACAAGTGTCTCTACAATAGGATGAGTTCTTTGGGTACATGCCAAGGAGTGGTATAACCGGGTCATATGGTAGGTTCATTTTATGTTTTTTGAGATCTCCACACTGCTTTCCATAGAGGCTGCAAGAGTTTGCAGTCCCACCAGCAGTGAATGACCGTTCCCCTTTCCCCACATCCTTGCCAACATTTGGTATCATCGGTTCTCTTGATGTTAGCCAGTCTGACTAGGGTAAGGTGGAACCTTAGGGTGGTTTTAATTTGCATTTCCCTTATTACTAACAATGCTGAATACTTTTTAAGATGTTTCTTAGTCATCTTTATTTCTTCTTTGAGAACTCTACTTAGATCTTTAGCCCATCTTTTAATTGGGTCATTTGCTTTCTTGCTTCTTTGTTTTTTGAGTTCTTTGTATGCTGTGGATATTAAACCTCTATCAGATGTGTCACTGGTGAAGATTTTTCACACTCTGGGTTTTCTCTTCACTTTCTGGATTGTTTCTTTTGCTGTACAAAAGCTTTTAGTTTAATGAGGTCCCACTTGTTGATTGTTGACCTTAATTCCTGAGCAACTGGTACCCAATTGAGAAAGTCCTTTCCTACACCCATCTCTTATAGGTTACTGCCAATGGTTTCTTCTAACAGTTTCAGAGTTTCAAGTTTCACATTGAGGTCTTTGATCCATTTGGAGTTGACTTTTATGCTAGATGAAAGGTAAGGATCTAGTTTCATTCTTCCACAGGTGGAGATCCAGTTTTGCCAGCTCCATTTGTTGAAGATGCTGTCTTTCCTCCACTGTGCTTTCTTGGCACCTTTGTCAATTACCAGGTGTCTGAAATTGCATGTACTTGGGTTTGGATCTTCAATGATGTTCCATTGATCTATGTGTCTATTTTTGTGCCAGTACCATGCTGTTTCATGACTATAGGTCTGTAGTATACTTTGAGATCTGTTATAGTAAT